TTCATGTTTAATTTGTGCAACTAACTGCAGATAAACATAATTAAATAGTAGATAAACATCTCATTTTAAATATAAAAAATATAACATATAATTAAGATAATCATTGAGTTCTAACAGAATGCTTAAGTACTATTTTTATAGAAAAAATATATTATTAAATAAAAAATTATTAATTCATTGTTAGACTTAAATTAAATTACAATAAAAAATTTAAATTAAAGAAACTATTAAGAAAATGAGAACTTTTAAATAATTAATTTGATATTAATATCGATATATTTTTTCTTCAAACTTTTATGTTATATTCACATTTATATTTTATTCAAAAATAAAAAATTATTGTTTTTTATTTATCAAAACCACATAAAATCGTATTATAACATCGATAAAGAGAAAATAAAATGAAACATTAAAATCAAGATGTATTTCGTTATATTATACAAATACCCTTATGGTAATAATAATAATAATAATAATAATAATAATAATAATAATAATAATAATAATAATAATAATAATAATTGATAAAAAAAACCAATTTTTATAATTCTAACATTTTATAAATTAAGTGAAAATATTTGAAGAAAATATTCAAGTAACTTTAATTTTTTTCCTTGGTATATATGAATTTAATTATCTAATTTTAACACAATAATTATAAAAAAAAAAAAAAAAAAAAACGTTGGTCAAAATAAGATGATCCTTGGTCAACCTTCTTATCCTCTTTCATCCAATTTTCACATCAAAGTTTCAATTCAAACAAATTGTCCCTTAACTACTACACATTTTATAACTTTTGTTTTTCAACACTTGAATTTGCAATACTAGTCCCTAAATAAAACCTAGAGATTGTTTGGTTGGTTTTTTCATTAAATCCTGTATAGATAAAAAAATCTGTGTGCATTAATCTGTTTGTATAAATTGGAAAAGTTTTTGTTTTCAGCATTAAACGCCACACTAGAAACTTATTAAAGTAGTCACTTTCTATATCATTAAGCAATTTTCAAACAATTATGTACAGTAGACCAAATAAGCCGTGAGTCTCATTAAACTTTGATATCAAACTGCAAGCAAACAAACCCTTACATGACAATTTAGGGGGTCGTTCGACTTGCATAATGTTTTTAGACGGAATGAAACATGTGAAAGGAATTGAAATTGAATACGAAGAAATTTGACCTCATTATGTTCGGTTGACATAAATTAGAATAAAATGTGTTAAATGAATTGGAATCCGCTTGTTTCGTTTACAGAATGTATATTCATAACTGAAACAAGAAACACTATAATTTGACCATAACACCCTTATATGGTTTTGTTTATGCAAGTGTGGGTGGAAGTGGTCGATGATAGGTGGTGATCGTAGATGGTGGTGATCAGCGATGTGGACGGTCAACAGTGGTGGGTGGTAGACGTATGTGGTGGTGGAGGTGGTTGAGTGGACGTCAGGTAAAATCCCGTCATCAGTGGATTCCAAATTCATGAAAGGAACTGAGTAACCCCTTTATATATGGATTTTAATTTCATCTGATACGTTTTATTTCATCCCTTAAGTGAACCAGATAACCGAATGAAATCTGAAAACAATTTTTCCATTCCAGCAAATCAAACTTTACTTATCGATCTCACTAAAAACAACATATGATAAATGCATAACATACTCTTAGGGGTAAAATAGTCAAGTTTCGGTTTAGTTTACACATGTCGTCACTATTCTATTACATCTAATATCTTAATCGTTATTTACTTTAAATTAGTTATGAACAACTAGAATGGTACTTGTGCAATGCAGCAAGATACATCTCGATTTTAATGTTTCGTTTTTATTATGTTTTCGTCGATGTTATAATACGATTTTATGTGGTACTGAAAAAATGATAATATTTTTTTTAATAAAATATAAATTTGAAGGTATCATAAAATTTTGAAAAAAAAAGTGTATAGATTTTAGTATCAAATTAAGTATTTAAAAATTCTTTTTTTTATGTAATTTATTTAATTCAATTTTTATTACAGTTTAATTTAGATTTAACAATGAAGTCATTTATTTTTGGTTTAATAATATATTTTTCTACAAAGATAATAATGGGTATTTTGTTAGAATTCAATCATTATCTTAAATATATTTTAGATTTTTTATATCTAAATAGAAATACCTATCTAGTATTTTATTATGTTTTTGTCTACAGTTAGTTACACAAATTCAAATATGAAACTTTAACAAGTTGTACATATGCAAAATGCACTGTTATTCTTGAATTTTAATTAATATGCATCAATAAACAATACTTAGTATATGAAAAATAGTTTTTACGAGTCTTTGTCAAATACTTTATAATATAATATAGATAAACTACAATTGTTATTTTAATTAATTATTTTAGTTAAAAAAATATTTAAACATTCAACCAACAATAAATATTCAATTAAATTACATATAAAATCAAAAAAATTACAATAAAACGATAAAATGTGGCATTTTTAAAAAAAATTTGAGGTCATATTATTATATTTTATTGATAAAAAACAATAAAAAGAACAAAAAGAACGTAAGTCAAAGTCAATATTTAATAGAAGGATGAGTCTCTTGGACCATGGTGACAAGGCAACTACAACCATGTGAATTCACATCCACATAAAAAAATCAAGATTTATTAATCAAATTACATTATTTAATTTTTGTGGTTTATATTGGTTTTAATTCCCAATCAAAATAATTTAAGAATGTTATTTTGGTTAATCGTACTTGTGTCACGTTATATCTAAAATTTCAACATCTAAATTGAATTACTGGTTTTTGGATGACTGTCTAGAAATCAGTAAAACCGAACTCATCCAATCCAATGAGCATCAAATTTTATCATCAAACTACCATTCAAATAACTATATATAATTATTAATATTTTATGATATTATTTTTTTAGCTGATATTTATACATACTGTTTTTTAATAAGTTAAAAAAATATATAAATAATTGGTTGAAAATTGTATCAGAATATTGGATATAACCAATAGTGATATTCAATAGATGGAACTGTTCTGATCCGATCATCAATCAGATTGGATTGGATCAGATGAAAAAACCCAACATCCATTGGATGATTGGGTTGGATCAGATGCATCTAAATTCATGGATTTCAACCAATAAACACCCCTAGTTATACATATTTTATGCTTTCGCTTTTTTACCATCTAGAATCTATGTTGTTTGTGCAAAGGAGTTTATAATCAGTAAACTTTTAGTCAGTATATATAGTCTCATCTTAAGAGAATCATGTGAAAGACGAATGGAATATATGACTAGTCAGGTGACTAGTTAAAGAGCTCAGTGCCCAAAGAAATTGTAAATCCTACAATGCAGTTGTCACATTCTTACTTTCGTACGTTTGTTAGCAGACATTATACACCACATTGAAACCAACTGTACCATGCCATAAGACATAATCTAGCTTGTTTAGATGACTTTATCTCAATTTCATTTGGTCATAATTTATATACTATGATATCATTTTTATCTGTATGTGTAGAAAACCATTTATTTTAACAAAATATTTGACAAAAACTCTTAAAAACCATTTTTTATGACAAAGTATTGTTTGTTGATGCATATTACTTAAAATTCAAGATTACAAGTAGATTGTGTGTAACTACAACTTATTAAAGCTTTATGTTTGAATTTGTGTAACTAACTGCAGATAACATGATTAAATACATGATAAAAATCTCATTTTAATTATAAAAAAATAAAATATAATTAAGATAATCATTGAGTACTAACAAAATAATTAGTTATTATCTCTATAAAAAATTATATTATTATACCAAAAATAAATTGCTTCGTTATTAAACTTACAAATATTATATTATGTTATATTTTCAAAATATTTAAGATATCTTTAAATTTATATGTTATTCAAAAATTATCGTTTTCTTAAAACCACATAAAATCGTATTCTGACATCGATAGAGATAATAATATAACGAAATATTAACATCGATATGCATCTCGCTGCATTGCGAGAGTACCTTTCTAGTAGTTGTATATTTGAAAGATTAAAAGTTTTTAAGATCAAAACCTAAGAGCATCTCCAACAGATATGTTATATTTTCTTTTCTTCAAAAATTTGAAAGATTTCTCTATTTTCTCTTTTATTTTCCTCTGTTTTAAAAGAGAGTTTAGCATAAAAGTTGAAGTAAACTTTTTACGTACCTCCAATTTTTTTTAAATAACATAAACACTTTAATTTTTTTATTAACCTGCATATCCAACCTGCTATGTGAGCCGATTAACCCCAGAATGACCAATTGTTTTGCAGATAGTCCGAAGTCATCGCATTTGAACCTCCGTGGCCACAACGAGATTTTTATTCCTCATTGGATTTGAACCTGGAACCTCCTGGTACTTTTGACCTTTGAAGTCAAACTCAAACCAATCAGATCCCACCCTTGTGGTTAAACACTTCAATTTTTACTCTTATTTTCATAACCATATTAGTTATATCATCACTTTTTAAACTATAATTCACAATAAACAATAAAATATCCAAAGAAAAAACAATTTAGCATGTAAAGAGTAATGTACTTGGATGATGCAATTGAAATTTGGAAAAAAGGGGGCAAAAGGGTAAAGTGTGGTGGGGGCAAAAGGGGGCAAATGAAAGAGACCAAAGTGGCCATAAGTGGAAGGTTTGATGACTAGATATGGATATGGATGTCTTCTTATCCTATTCCTAGTTCTTAGTGAAATTTTTTGAACCATACAAGAATGATGGGTGGCAAACCCAAGGATACAACCAAAACCAAAACCAAAACCAAAATGGACCCCATCCATTCATCCAATGACACTTTTTTGACCCTTTTTCATTATTTTATAATTTAATTTGATTTTAATTTGATATGTAATGTATATGTGTTGGTTTTAATAGTGGAAAAGTCATATCCATAAAGAAGTTTATACCTTATCTACACCAAATATACCCTTTATATATATATATATATATATATATATATATATATATATATGTCTTTTATATATGTTCCCTCAAACTCATGCTATTTCCAAGATCATTATTCATATCCATGCTTCACACTCTTTCTTGAAAACTTCTTTCTTTCTTATAAAGAGTTGATCATATAGCATTTGAGATGGGTGAGGTTGAGAAAAGGCAAATAGGTCAAGAAATGGGATTAAAAGAGGAGGATAAGAATGGAGTTCAATGGGATTTAATGGAAACTAAAGATGGTGTTTGTAGATACGACATTAGTGAATCGGATTCGGAGGATTTAGACGAGTCGTCTTCTTCATCGGAAACGATAGAAGATGCATCTTCGTCTTCTTCATCGTTGTCGTCGTATGGTCCTTTGTTTGAACTATCCGAGCTCATGGCAGAATTGCCTATCAAGTGAGTAACTCCGATCTTTTTTGAATTTTATGACTTGGGTATCAAGAAAAGATCGATCTTTTTTTAGTTTTATAAATTGGGTATCAAGAAAAGATCTATTTTTTTAGTTTTATGAATTGGGTATCAAGAAAAGACCAAATTTTCTTAGTTTTATGAAGTGGGTGTCAAGAAAAGATCAAATTTTCTTAGTTTTATGAAGTGGGTGTCAAGAAAAGATCAAATTTTCCTAGTTTTATGAAGTGGGTGTCAAGAAAAGATCACTCTCTTTTGAATTTTATGAATTGGGTATGAAGTAAGGATGGATCTTTATGGTCCAAAGAGATGGTACAACCCTTGGTGCACATGGTACAACAAGTTCTAACCCTTTTGTGTCATATTTTTGCAGAAGGGGTATATCAAAGTTCTATCAAGGGAAATCTGAATCATTTGCATCACTAACAAGTGTGAAAAGCATTGAAGATCTTGCAAAGAAAGGGAAGTATTCTTGTAGATCAAGAAGATCCATGAAAAGTAGCTATGGAGGTGGTCAACATCAAAGATTGAGTCCAAAAGCCACCATAGGCAAGAACAAGAAGGCTTCTATGTTTTCTTCACTAGGAAAGATGAGTTCTTTAATGGCTAATTAAGCTCAATGGTTTTGGCCTTTGGTACAAATTGTGGCTACCCATTCTAGGGTTTTTTTTATCTTCAATATATGGACTTGAAGCTTGTAATCTTTTGATTTGGACCAATTTGGGTTCTTTTTTGGTATATTATACCTATTTGGTTTCATTAAAAAGTACCAAGAGTATTTGCAAATATCCGTTTAGCATCTCTGAACAAACCCTTTTGGATATTCTTCGATGTCTTGGCTATTATATGGAGGATGAAAAGCTACTGAATCATCTATTTTCTTTTTTTGGCTAACTATGGGTTTCTAGACCAGTTTACTCGTACTACTAATCCCTTGAACGACCATGAATGGTCTGAAGTCAAAGCAAGGTGATCCTCTTTAACCATAAAGGATTTGATAACGTCTGGATTCACACATGAGAAAGATGAGACTTCTGTTTTGCCATGGCCACAAGAGATCATACGTTTTGCCATTACTTATAAGGACATTTTGTTATATTACCTTCTACGATGGTCATTGTTAAATTATCTTTTAATTGAAAACTCATTTAAGATAATTTAACTTATAATTTTAGGGGAGCAATCTTTTTTGAGCAAAGGACATATCATTTGGAAATTATGTATTGGACAAATTGCATGAAAAAGTAACGTACTTGAACTTGATTCCTATTTAGGGTAACGTACTTTCAAAACTTTCATTTTATTACCTAAGATATAAAGTTTTAGATATTTAAGTATCTGGGTAACCGGTTGAAGTATTAACCGATTATCATGCTGATGTAGTGAGTATTGTAGTATCCAACCCAGTATTATTTGCTGACGTGATTAATGACATGATTTTTTTAATCTAAAATTAGTCTTCAATTAGTTACCCGAGTACTTAAATGTTTAACATTTTGCATCTTAGGTACCAAAATAAAAGTTTTGAAAATACGTTACCCAAAATAAGAATCAAGTTAAAGTACGTTACTTTTTCATGCAATTTCCCCATATCTATTTAATAAAAGTTTTTAGAAAAACATATCTTTAATAAAAACTTACTTAAATTCATTCAACCAAAATAACTTTAACTTACAATTTGTCTACAAATGTGAATACACCTCCATATAAAAGAGATCCCGGTATCTTAAATTTCCGTGCTCCATCCAGATCCATCAATCACATAAATACACACTAACATAGAGAAAATAAAACACGAAACACTCATGTATCTTTATGTAACTGCTAGGATGTACACAGACCTCAGGATGCTTTCGGTAAAAACATCATTTGATATTAATTCAAATTAATTGTAACACCCCAAAGCCCAAAGCAACGAACTAGCCCAATAACTTCGAATACAACTTAAAACCATGGTGAAAGTTATTGGTAGCCTACTACTTGAGACTTATAAGGAGTTAACAATTCTCACATTCTATCAATGTGGGACGAGCTGTTACATTAACCATAATATTAGCAAAATTATCTATTATGTGGTTCAACAATAACCTACCAACATCATAATCTTTAACCCAACCCAACCCAAATCTTGAAATCACATTTGATCTTGGTTATGATTCTTATGCACAATTTGCAATTAAAAGAATCCAAAATGCCATCAAATCAAAATCTTTTTGGAGCTCTTTTTATAATCACCATTGAATCTCTGAAGACCCACCAATCCTACCCATAATTGCATTCTTGAAACTAGTGGCCTCTTGTGCTTGTGCTTGTGAGCTTGACCTTTGCATTTTCACCCCATAACTTACACTACTTCTTGACTCCATCATCTCATTGAGTGACATCTTCTTCTTGTGCCCAACTCCAAACTCAGGCCTTTGTCTTGGTGCACTTTGTGATCTCAACTTAGCATTGAATGACTTGGTGCTAGCCATGTAGCTCCGGTTGCTCGACGACCCGTCAGTGCAGACGCTCTTGGAAGGAGAGACGGGACGAAACCGGTTGGAACCCACATGTAGGGCCCACTCGAACTCGTGGTTTTGAGAGCTCGGCGTTGGTAAACGGGCCGGGGATCGGTGACGGTGAGGCGAGGATAGGGTTTGGGCATACGGGTTGTCGATATTATAACCCGGTGTCCAAGCCCATGTATTGGTTCTTCTTGATCTCGATTTGGGCCTTCCAGGGTCCATCTCCACAATTTTTGGGCTTTCATCAATCACTGAAGGCTCAAAAGAAGATGAAAGCCTTCTGCTATGAATCACAGATGTTGTGTAGTCACTCTTTGTTTCATCAAATCTCTCCTGCAAATACATAACCAATTTATTTGAAATATTCTTCAATAATTATTTAACAAAATTAAATAAAACTTATAAACCATAAAATCAAACCAAATTAAACTAAACAGACGCAATTAATCCATCCTCCATGGGTCAGGGAAGCGTAAGATGTACACAGACTTCAGAGTGCTTTTGGTGTACAAACAGAACTGGACAACAGACCAGAGTGATGTAGGTAGACGAAAGAATTATTGAAGATTTTAAGCTTTTAATCTAACATGGGTACTTTAGTAATTTACCGGTTTTATTTTTGTCTAATATCACATCAAAACTAAACCGACCCAATGAAGGACTCAAAAGCGTAAGATGTACACATATTTTAGGGTGTGTTTGGCATACAGACAAAATTGGACATGACTGATGGACCAAAGTGATGCGCAGGCAGATGAAAGAATTATTGAAGGTTTTAAGTTTTAATCCAACATTGGTAGTTTGGTAATGGGGTGGGTTAAATTCACTCCTACATTTCGTTAAATACACCTCAATCTACTCGTTTCCTTCTAACACACATCAACATCAACATCACAGTCACTTTTTACATTTTCAATGCATAATTTGACCTGATTCTGATTTGAATGTGGGTGCATATAGCAATGGCGTAGTAATTTATCAATCTTGCACTACAAAACAAATGATTTTTACCCACAAAAATCACTCAGGAAAATTTCCGTCGGTGATTACCAACGGATCAACTATAAAATGCCAATCGTTCCGGTAGAATCTGATGCTTTTCAAAAAAAAAAAAAAAAACTAACGAATCACTGGAAAAAGCTGGGTAATCTGTCATTGATTTGAGTTTCCATCAGCAATTTACCCACGAATTTTTGTGACGGTTTTGTGACGAATCACCCCTTTTGACAACCGATTTTCTAACGGAAAAATCCGTAGGTAAAAGTCTTCGATTTAGTATTGCAGTGGGACAAGAGGTTTACTTTTAAAAAAGGTTTTGAATTAGGTGCTTACTTTTGAATCTTGAAGCTTGTTCATGGCATAAAGTTTGTGCGCACAAACGCTAGATTGCGCACGTACCAAAGCCTCCATGCTGCGCAAGGTAGCAGCTGCTTGTTTTCTGACTAGATATCCTCGAACCAATGCTTGAAGCTTCACTAATGCCTTTAATGCCCTCAATGCTTTTCTTGACTGTTCCATTTCCATTCATTAAACAAAGACCCAATTTTGTAATTTAACATAAAAAAGCACAGAAAAAGATCACCGGAGCATATGGACACCGTACAAGAATCTCCAGCGGTTGTTCATATCTCCGGCATAGCGAAATTAAGGTTTTGTATACCAAGTATCCACGAAACTGCGATTGAATTTTGATGGCGGCTGAATTTTCCCGACAACCACCGCCGCCGGAGACGCCAAGACTAGTGAGCTTAACGACAGCGACGGCTGCTTGTGCGGCGGCAACGGCAGCGTCAGCGGCGGCGGCAGTGGCAGCAGCGACGGCAATTGCATGCCGGTTCTGGTCGTCCTCATCGGAGTGGGTGTTGTAGATTGGTTTGTCCGGCGGAGAAATGGTGTGAGAACGGGCGACGCATGAGGAATTGTGGTTTTGGCGGTGACCGGAATCTTTTAGTTTTTTGGTGGTGAACAAGGCCTTGAACCACCGAGCTGCTCTGCCCATATTGTTCTTCCAGAATCTGAGAAGTTTCAGAGAGTGATCTATAAAAAGAGTGAGGACCCAGTTGGATTTTGCAATAAAATAACGTAGCAATAAAAATACTTTCAATGGAGAGAGAAAATTTAGGCTGCATTTGTTGCATAAATTTTGTCATATATATATATATATATATATATATATATATATATATATATATATATATAGACTTGGGATCATGTGAGCCCAATGGTTTTTCGTGA